GCCAAAATGTCTAACTAGCAACCTAACAGGAGGCCTAAATAACAAACTATAAACAGTATGTACAAAAAGGGGAAAAAGGATCAACAGGGTAAAACAAGAGATGCAAGGAGGAGGGGGAACCAGAGCTGGAATCAGGAACAAGGGGAGCAGGTACAAAGCAGTAGAGAATATAGGTACAAGGCAAGAGCAGGCTCAGGCAGGAATCAGGCTCAGGATCAAGCAGGTACAAGGTAGCATGGTAGAAGGTACAAGATGCAGAACAAGATCAGGATCAATTAGAAAGCAGTCTCTAGCAACACTGGTCTACAAGAAGAAAGCCTTGGAAATGATTATTATATTATTATACAGGATTTATATAGCGCCAACAGTTTGCTCAGCACTTTACAATATAATGGGAGACAATACAGCAACAATACAGTTCAATACAAGAGGAATTTGAGGGCCCTGCTCCTTGGAGCTTACAATCTAGGAGATAAAAGTAGCTATATTTTACCAGAATTGGGTCACTAATAAAGGAAAAGTAAGTCCTGAGTATTAATTGGCTCCAGTTTCAAAGATACAGTTTCAGGTCAAAATTGCATCAAAATAATTGAAAATTACGAGAGGGATGTGCAATTATTCTCCATAACTTTTCTGAAAAACGTGATATAGCGATTAGAATGGTGCCACACCAATCATAACTGTTTGGATATTCTATGGTCCACTTCTTTCTTGAGATTCCTTTTGCATTTGGGGGAACCATGCAAAAATAGCAGTCGCTACTATGATTGGTGAGCTCCCTCCACACCATTGGGACTGCGAAAGGCATGGACTTGCTTCTTGTTTAGCCAATGAAACAAATAAGTTGCACATGTAATGCAATAATAAGGGGCCCAACTCCTGTCCCGATACCCTATTTTGCATCCAAAATATAGATGGTATGCCTTTTTAACCACTGCCGTCATACTGCACTTTTGGGATGCAAATGTAACCTCGCCACAAATGTAGCAGAAGTTATCTGTGTTTACACAGTTTCGAGGCATCTTGCCTTCTGAGGGAAAATATCATGCAACTGTTCCTTGGAAATGTTAGGCAATCACACATTCACAAACCACCAGATGTAACTGTATGATGCGTAGATCTGACCAAGACAAATGTACCTTGCAATATAAGAACAATAAATTACAGTTAGGTAATAATCTTTAATCTCAAAGTGAAGAGAAATGTATACACTTCCATGTGGTACCATTTTAATTGTTCTTCCGTACTTTGTCGGGAAGATACAAGGATAAAGTCATAAGACACCTCCCCCTCCCTTGTAGGCATATATACTCACCTGTGTATAAATCTTTATTGTAAAATATCTTGAAAACTTTAGCCAACCAGCACCTTTATCAGTTGTTTTCTAATTCATCTAATCAAAATATGTAAGAATTAGCACATTTCATTTCAGAGACCAATAATTTCCCAAAATTTGTAGATCAGTGCTAGCTGGGCAAAACTCAGGTACAGGGCAGGAGCAAGTAAAACATTGGAGCTAGAGGAAAATGTAGAGCAGGAATTAATACTCTCCTAGAAGCCACCATCAGATGGAGAATAATTACTGGGATCTGTTGTCCGCTGGGAGATACCAGAACTACAACCTTCCACTCTGGGAACCACAATGCCACCAACAGGTGATCCAGGTCCTGACAATTCCATTTGGAATGCCCATGCGACTGAATATCTGGACAAGGTCCTTAGAAAGTTTTAGATGAGGTATTGAGCAAAGGCGTAACTTCAGGATATCACATAGCATAGTCCAGTATATGCTGATGGCCCCAGTCAGACTTTACCACTGGTCCTACTAAGACCACACCAATTATTTCAAAGAGTACTTCAATGATTGGCAAAAGTTCCAGTGGGCTGCGAAAATGGGGAAATGGTGCAGGATACTGATATCCTGGGCATGACTCAATCTTTTACATCCGCATGTAAACCAGGACCAAAGTTTATCTGGGTTATTCTGTTTAGTTTTCTCTATCCCCAGGTGCCCCACACCTTTTTTTGATAAAGATTTAACACCATCCTTTGGTAAGATTTTGGGACTACTAATTGCTCCACAACATCTTCCTACTGCTTTAACACTTGATGCAGTGATTCATTTTTAAGAGCCATGTGGGAAAAGACAGTCTCACAACAGGATCAACAGGTTCCCCATCCATCGTTTCTATGTTTTTGCTGGCTTTAATAAATTTAGAATCTTTAAATGGCTCTGTATCAAAATGATCCTTTCTGAAGTCTGGTAAATAATCCTGTCCACTTTCACCATTATAGCCAGACATAACATTCTGCACATCATTTGCAACCTTGGGGTCAGGCTCAGCCTTCTCCTGATCCCAGATATTACTGATAAAGGGGCCGAGTTGTGGATGGCTTTGTAAGTTGTTAGTATTTGAACTTTTATTTTTTGGGCGATTGGAAGCCAAGGAGGCATTAGCAGAGATGGGTGGCGGACACTGGACGTTTGGTAAGGTGGATGAGTTTGACAGCAGCATTAATGATAAATTGGAGAGGGTATAGTCTGTGTAGGGGTAGGCCAGTAACAAAGAATCTGCAATAGTCAAAGTGAGATAGTGTGGTACACAAACGGCCCTTTACTTGCTTTTATTGGGCCTTTGGGGCATTATTTAATCCACTGATACCAACAATGGGACATGATTTTCCCCATTGACACCAATGAAGGAGCACAATTCCTCCCAATGATAGGGCACAATTCTTTTCAATGACAAACAATGGGGCACAATTTTTTTCCCAATGACACAAAAAATGGGGCCTATGAAACCAATGATGGGGCACAATTCCTCCCACTGACACCAACGAGTACGGCTTTGTCCCACTGACGTTGGGACACTTTTCTACTCCCAATGGCCACAGTCCGGCCCCCCTAAAGTCTGAAGGACAGTAAACTGGCCCTTCGTTTTAGAAAGGATAAAGACCCCTTGGTGGTTGCATTGGATAAGAGGAGGCTTATTTTGGAAATATCACAGAGGTGAAGGCAGCAAGATTTGAACAGTGGTTGTCTTTGGGGCTGAAAGGACAGTTCAGAGTCCAAGATTACACCTAGTACCCTGGCATGAGGAGAGGGACTAATCGTTTTGATCTTAATCGAAAGGTTGGGGAAGGGGCCATATCAGAGAGGAAATATTATGAGCTCAGTGTTGGACAGATTGAGTTTTAGGAAGTGGTGTGACATCCATACAGATATGTCAATTGGTAAACTAGAAATTCAAGAGGAAACTAAAGGGGTGAGCTGAAGAGTATGGAGATTTTGGTGTCACCAGTGTAGAAATGATATTGTAAGACATGGGAAGTTCTCAAGCGAGCAAGGGTTGAGGTGTATATAGAGAATAGAGGGGGTCCAATGACAGAGCCTTGAGAGACCCCTACAGAAAGGAGGAAACAGGACATAGAGTTGTAGGCGACACTGAAGTAGTACTAGATAGACAGAGAACCAGGCAAACAGCAGAGTTTTGGAGGCCAAGGGAGTGGAGGTTTTAATGAGGAGTGGGTGGTCAGCTGTACCAAAGGCTGCAGAAAGGTTTAACAAGATGGAGTAGAGGCCATTGGTTTTAAAAAGGAAGACTTAACCAGAAACTTCCACAAAGTGATATCAGAGGTCAGTTCTTCGAGTATGTGCTGGAAGGAAGAAAATGACCTGCAGGTTTGGTTGCTTGGTAACAAGGCACTGGAAGCCCAATATGTAGCAGAACACAGAAGGACGCCTGGTTTAATTTCGAGGAGTAGTAGGCTTATGGAAACAGTCATATTTTGGTAGATAGGCCGAGAAAGGAAGAAGTGGCCCTGTGTCCATGTCAGGCAAAGGGAGAAGGGGTCAGCCAGACGTGGAATGGTTGTGTGATGACAATGAGATGTATAGAGGAGATCTACATGTTGGAGCTGTTGTCACAGAGGGCTCCATTCATTAAACAATATCTCATGAGATAATTGAATCAAGTGACATTTTTTCGAATTATCTCATGAGATACTGAAAAAGTCCATTCACTATCACCTGATGAGGTATTTACCTCACAAACCAAAAACATGCTAAATATCTTTAAAAAGAAAAAGTAAAGTGCCTCTAAGAAAAAGTAAAAAAGTAAAAGTAAAGGTGCCTCTAAGTGTAGACTTTAAAAACACATTTATTGCACAAGAGCAGCTTACAAGAGGGTAGAATAAAAGCAGGTACATCAAATATCCGTCATGGGGAAGTCTGCCACGGTAACAGAATGTTGCTCTCCATGTGAAATCCAGACTTGGCATGCAATTTGCAAGTCGCATGGAATGCAAATCGCATGCCAATTCGCATCCCAGTGTGACCGGGGACTTAGAGGCGCCTTTCATTTTTCTTTTTTACATGCACCATTCTGGAACAAGCTTCAATCCAGTGAGAGGCAGCCACACGTGTAAAGGACTCTCTCCATCCTGCTGTATAAAGATACGTCATCAGCTGTGTTACCCATTACACTTACTGTTCACAGTTACCAGATGTATCTTTAGGGTTTTTGCATAATCTTAATGTTTATGGTTAAACAATATTGTTTTTTATTTCAGTTTATATATGATGTTTTTTTGCATTTAATCCATGGGTAGAGTGCCACTATTGGATTGATATTAGGTTGCGCCTATTCCCCTTGTGTACACCACATGCAGTCCAGTGCATTTTTTTTTTTTTTCTTCATCAAAAATGCATTGATCATAGGTTACAAGTATTCCAATGGCACAGTTCACACCAGTGCGGTCAGTTCCAGTGAGTTCCTGTTCCAGAAACAAAAAAAAGTAGAACATGCTGCATTTTGTCTGCACTGAACTATACTGGAACGCAGTAAAATGCATCAAAAACGCACCAGAATGCACATGTCCTTATTTGACTGCCTCCCGCCCGCCATATAGTACAACAGGCGCAAGGCGGTTCTCTCGTTCCAAGAGGACATCATATTACGTCCTCCCATTCTAACCGTAGGAGCGTGCGGCGATCGGTGGTGCGCTGTGTCACTCGGACACAGCGGATCACCGATCGATGGAAAGAGACGAAGATGTCGGTTCGGTCATGTGATCAGCTGTCCAATCACAGCTGATCTCATGTAAATATGGAAATGCCAGTTATCGGCATTTCTCTCCTCATGAGCTGTCACGCTGACAGCTCGAGAGGAGAGCCGGTAATCGGCATTCCTCGGAGGGGACATGTACACTGATCATCAGGGCACTGATGATCAGTGTGCCCTGATGATCTGTGTAGCCCCAGCAGTGTCACTTGTCAGTGTCCATCAGTGCCAGCTGTCAATGCTTATCCATGCCACCTGCCAGTGCCCATCAATGTCACATATCAGTGCCCATCTGAGCTGCCTTTCAGTGTCACCCATCAGTGCTGCCAGTCAGTGCCACCTAACAGTGCTGCCAGTCAGTGCCACCTAACAGTGCCATATATGAGTGCTGCCTTTCAGTGCCCAGTGATGCCTGTCAATGCCCATCAGTGCCACCTACCAGTTTCTCCTCATCAGTGCCCATCAGTGCCACCTATCAGTGTCCATCAGTGCAGCCTACCAGTGCCCATCACTGCAGCCTCATTAGCGCACATCAGTGAAGGAGAAAAATCCTTATTTACAAAATTTTATAACAAAAACTAAGAAAAAACATTTTTCAAAATTTTCAGTGGTTTTTGGTTTAAGAAAAAAAAAAAAACCCAGAGGTGATTAAATACCACCAAAATAAAGCTCTGTCACAAAAAAAGGATAAAAATTTCATATGGGTACAATGTTGCATGACCGCGCAATTGTCATTCAAAGTGTGACAGCGCTGAAAGCTGAAAATTAGACTAGGCAGGAAGGGGGTATAAGTGTCCTGTAGGCTAGTGGTTAAGTTGAAGAAATAAAGAGGAGAAAAAATTAACCGCAACGCCTCAAAATGCGCATACAGAAACGCATCCGGACTATGTTTCTATGGTGTGAACAGACCTAAAGTCAATTCATCAAAGGAAATAAATAAATAAATTCATGTGTTACATAAGTAGTGGTCCGTGCATGAGATATTTAACCGCTTCCATACCGGGCACGTTTACCCCCTCCCTGCCCAGGCCAATTTTCAGGTCTCAGCGCTCTCATACTTTGAATGACAATTGCGCGGTCATACAACACTGTACCCAAACTAAAATGTTATCATTTTCTTCGCACAACTAGAGCTTTCTTTTGGTGGTATTTAATCACTGCTGGGGTTTTTAGTTTTTGCTAAATTAATAAAAAAGTCCAAAAATTTGGAAAAAAAAAACTCTTTTCTTTGTTTGTTATAAAAGTTTGCAAATAAATAATTGTTCTTCATAAATTTAGGCCAAGATGTATTCTACTACATGTCTTTGGTGAAAATAACCCAAATTAGTATTTATTATTTAGTTTGTAGGAAAGTTATAGAGTTCACAAACTATGGTATAGATCTGAATATTGATCAATCCTGAAGTACTGACAGCCAATCTAATTTCTTGAGGTCCAAGAATGTCAGAACAGTACAGATATCCCCCAAATGACCCCTTTTTGCAAAGTAGACAGTCCGACATACTTCATAAGAGGCATGGAATTTTTTTGTCATAATTTTTCGGAAAATGAAGAAATTAAAAAAATGATTTTCACTATTTTTTCTTTTTTTCATACTATCACCAGTGCAGTACAGAGTCATCATATAACTGGCATGGCGGTGATCAGGGACACTGACTGGTGACAGTACGAAAAAAAAAAAAAAATTCAATTTTTTTTTTTTTATTAAATTTTTTTCTCTTTGTAAGATTTTTTCATTTTATACTATGACCAAAGTAGTATAATGTTACCATAGTAACATTGTACTACTTTGGGGAAGTGATCAGGTTTTGTTTTTTGTTTTTTTACACAATTTGCTTATAGCAAAGAATTACTTTGCTATAAGCAAGCATTTACCTGAATGAAATCAATTCATTCCGGGTTTCTTTTTTTTGTGATTAGCTGTGATTGGCCATGGCTAATGACAGCTGGGCTGTGATTGGCCCAGCTTGTGTATGTGATCACTGTGACCATTCACAGCTAGACACACTAGTATACAATGGATGGCATGAAAGGAAGCCATCCATTGTATACAACTGTCATGTGACCTGCTGTGATTGGTCATGGTACTGGCAACGGGGTCGGTACACAGATCTGTCATCGACCGTGTCCGAGGAAGACGGCCGGTGACAGATCTCACCACAGTGCGGCCCTGCACAATGTGCGTTCCAGAAAGGACGCCATATGGTGTCCACCTGGAGGAATGAGCTGTTCGCCCGGCCGCCATCCGGCTATAGGCCGGGCAACAACTGGTTAAGGAATGTAAAAATATCATTTTAAAAAAGTTTCTCAACAGTAATCCAGAGAAACCTAAATATAGAAAAACACACAATCATTGGGGCTGATTTACTTAAAGCGATACTAAATGTTCAGGTTTTTTTTTTAAATAACAAGCATTTTATACTTACCTGTTCTGTGTAGTGGGTTTGTGCAGAGCAGCCTGGATCCTCCTTTTCTTGGGTCCCCCGCAGGCTCTCCTGTCTGTCGGGTGCCCCCACAGCAAGCAGCTTGCTATGGGGGCACCCGCTGCTCGGTGTGTCCATGATGGACAGCAGCGAGAGTATCTCAGCCAATAAAGGGGCAGAGACCCGGAACAGCCGAGGCTGCCATTCACATTGCTGGATCATGATGAGGCTGAGGTAAGTATTGAGGGGGCTGAGGGCACTACGGCACACAGGTTTTTTACCTTCATACATAGAATGCATGAAGGTAAAAACCCTTCAGCCTTCACAACCACTTTAAAGGGAGGCAGCAACTGGAAGAGGTTGAAGCATGCAACACTACCTATCATGGTGACTGAAAGCAGATATATCATTTTAAAGGGAAGGATTGAGAATCATGCATGCTTTTATTAAGGACATTATAAACCTCCCTACCTGCACCTTGTGTCTTTCACCTGCATAAGCTATTGCATTGATCGTACAGTTTCTTGGTGTCATTTGTTACCCTTTACATACAGCCTATAGGAAGGAAGTCATTCACATTCCTTTGTTAGCAATTTCTGTTTGTGTTCAAACATGAGACATGCCTGAATCCTCCCCTTCTTGGGTCCTGGTTCCTCTTTCCTGTTGCGCTCCATACATCCATTCACACATGGAGCCGCGGCTTGGCCCTGCCCCCTCTGTCTCATCATTGGCTCACTGGCTGTGATTAACAGCAGCAGGAGCCAACTGCCTCTGCTGCTGTTCCAGCCAATGTGAAGGCAGACACCCGAGGTTCTTGTGCACATCGCTGGATCGCAATGAGGTTTTTTTACCTTGCATAGAATGCATAAAGGTAAAAAAAACTTCAGCCTTTACAACCACTTTAAAGTAACTAAAAGGCAAAACTTTTTTTTTATGTTTTGGACAGAGTGGAGATGGATATGACCCCGTCAGGTTTTATTGCGGTCTGTGCCCCCGGTAGGGAGAGTCACCCTATTTGTCCTGTTTATCATTATTGAAAGTAAAGGAAAATCACTAAGTTTTGGTTGTCCCCGAAACTGTAATAGAGGAGAAATCTTCCAATGGGGACACCGGTTCTGGTAAACGGGGGGGGGGGGCATAAAGGATTTGTTTAATTTGCATGGATTTCCTCCACTTCCTGTATTGGTGAAGTGAAGGGAAATCTCCCCCCTACATTACTTTTCATTGGTAGAGGAATGGTATTTATATGTGTGTGATTTTTTTAATACTATTTTTGTTTAATATTTGACATTCATAAATATATTTTGTATTTACTTCATGTAAACTAGTTCATTTTTAATACGCCACGTGTCCTGTGAAAGCCACTTCCCTTTGGTATTCCGGTCACTTTTTTTCTGTAGTATTAATACATCTGCTGCAGGGAGCGCACTTAGTGAGTTGGCATATTTCTGCGGTTTCCCCATTTTACCTCTTTATTAACACTACAGGCAGGCAGGGACTGTCATCCTTCCCCACTGTATCCATCCGTCCATCCATCCCCACTGTATCCATCCGTCCATCCATCTATCCCCACTGTATGCATCCATCCATCCCCACTGTATCCATCCATCCCCACTGGATATCACATCATGAGATAAACACTGAACATTGTCATGAAATAACTCATGATTTATTTTAGTTTTATTTATTTTGTTGTGAATTGCAAAAACATTTTTTAAAAAAAGCTACAAGTTATTATCTCTGATTTTAAGAGTAAAATAACTCTTTGTGAGCTGAGCCCAGAAAGAGATCCGAGACTGGCTGGGATCTTCATCAGCTGAGAGAGGACATCATGTCCACACTTGGGGCTCACCATGACCAGCGTGCCCGCACAGGGATCCCCATGACGAGCGTGCCCACACAAGGAACCCCATGAAAAGCATTAGTGGTGTGACCCTCCTGCGCTTCAAGTGTGTGTTTAAAAATGATATTAAACCAAATGAATAAATGGGTGTATGTATCCCAAAGGGAGCTGCTAGCATTAAATCATATACCAGTGATCAAGTGAATATAAAACATAAGGAATGCTGCGCTACATTCAAATCAATTTGTGAATGTGGGATCCCAAAATATTAAATCAAAGAGTGTGACAATATTACCAATATTAATCTATAGGTGCTTACTGATACTATCAAAATCAATTGAATCACTTAAAAATTATATAGAAACACAAAAAACTGTATCTATACATATGTGCATAAATACAAACACATATATATATACTTAAATCACACGTGCCTGTTGTGAAGTGAAAAAGAATGACCAAAATATTGATACACGCAAACTTATATCTCAAAGTCCAAAAAATAGAATATTGTAAGTGAAAAAACAGTAAACGGTGCTTCCAAATTATACTGTTAGTGACCACGAGTGAAAAAAAAAATCGTGCAGGTTTCTGGGTGTATATAGATCTATGAATCCAACCACCTTCTGGATTGGCCTCTCACCTCATCCCTTCGACCCTTGCGGGTCAAAGAGCAGTAGTGGATCCCTCTCACAGATCCTCTAGGTACCAAAGCACTCCAAGACAGCTCTCAGAATATAATATTCCCACTCAGGCTCTTCTCCAGGAAAAGTTGAAATATCAATCTCTCAGAATGAGACAAAAGAATCCTCCCATAGTGTAGTATATTTATTATACCATAGGAACATGTAACAAGTGTAAATAAGAACTCACGTAGCAGCCAGTCCACATTAAAGCCTCATGCTTTCAGATGAGGATATGTCTGTTGGGTGTACAGCTGAATGCACAGGTGTACCAAGATGGCCGCCACGCCGGAAATACGTCACCGCGCTACGCCTGGCGTAGCGCGGTGACGTATTTCCGGCGTGGCGGCCATCTTGGTACACCTGTGCATTCAGCTGTACACCCAACAGACATATCCTCATCTGAAAGCATGAGGCTTTAATGTGGACTGGCTGCTACGTGAGTTCTTATTTACACTTGTTACATGTTCCTATGGTATAATAAATATACTACACTATGGGAGGATTCTTTTGTCTCATTCTGAGAGATTGATATTTCAACTTTTCCTGGAGAAGAGCCTGAGTGGGAATATTATATTCTGAGAGCTGTCTTGGAGTGCTTTGGTACCTGGAGGATCTGTGAGAGGGATCCACTACTGCTCTTTGACCCGCAAGGGTCGAAGGGATGAGGTGAGAGGCCAATCCAGAAGGTGGTTGGATTCATAGATCTATATACACCCAGAAACCTGCACGATTTTTTTTCACTCGTGGTCACTAACAGTATAATTTGGAAGCACCGTTTACTGTTTTTTCACTTACAATATTCTATTTTTTGGACTTTGAGATATAAGTTTGCGTGTATCAATATTTTGGTCATTCTTTTTCACTTCACAACAGGCACGTGTGTTTAAGTATATATATATGTGTTTGTATTTATGCACATATATATAGATACAGTTTTTTGTGTTTCTATATAATTTTTAAGTGATTCAATTGATTTTGATAGTATCAGTAAGCACCTATAGATTAATATTGGTAATATTGTCACACTCTTTGATTTAATATTTTGGGATCCCACATTCACAAATTGATTTGAATGTAGCGCAGCATTCCTTATGTTTTATATTCCCATGAAAAGCATGCCCGCATAGGGATCCCCAGGACCAGCGTGCCCGCATAGGGATCCCCAGGACCAAAGATCCACATGCCCAGCGTGCCCACACAGGGATTTCAATGCCCAGCGTCCCCACACAGGGATCCCCGTGACGAGCGTGCCCACATAAGGATCTCCATGACCAGCGTGCCCACATAAGGATCCCCATGACCAGTGTGCCCACATACAGCTCTAATCTGCTCTAATCTGTCTTTTGCTCTGTACCTGGCTCTGCTCTGACATTGTTCTGAGCCTGGCCTCCACTTTCCATAGTCCATGGATATATGCCAAGCTCCCCTCTATCCAGTATTGCTCTGTGTCTGGTTCTGCTCTGTTTGGCATTACACGGTGTCCAGCTCCCGTCAGGCATTGCTCTGTGCCCCTACTCTGACAGTGCTATGTGCCTGGCTCCCCCGTCTGACAATGCCGTGTGCCTGGCTTCCCTCTGTGCCCCGGCTTCCCTCTGTCTGGCATGGCTCTTTGCCTGATTCCCGTCACTCATTTCTGTGTCTAGTTCCCCTTTGTCACTCTCTGCTGTGTGCCTGGTCCTCCCTTACAGACATTACTGTGTGCCCAGCTTCCCTCTATCTGGCACTGCTCTGTGCCTGGCTCCATACTGGCATTGATGTGTGCCCTTCTCTCCTCTGTCTAGCATTGCTATGTGCTTGGCATCGCTGTTTTCCATCATTGCTCTGTCAGACTGTCCCAGGCTCCCCATTGTCTGGCATTATGTGACCTACTCCCCTGTCCGTCATTGTTCTGTGCCTGGCTCTCTTCTGACAAGTATTATGTGCCTGGCTCCACCTCTGTCTAGCATTGCTCTTTGCCTGGCTCCTCTGTTTTGTTGGGGACTTCTATATGCCTAGCTCGCTTCTGTCACACATTGCTGTATGCCTTGCTCCCCTTCATCTGACAATGTTCTCTGCCTGGCTCCACTGTCAGGCACTGCTGTGTGCAAAGCACCCCCCCCCCCCCCGGCTTCCCATTGTCTTGCACTGCCCTGTGCCTGGTGTCCCTGTCAGACATTGCTAGGTGACCTACTCCCCTGTCTGGCATTGCTCTGCGCCTGGCACCCCTCTAACAGAGGTTGCTCTGTGCCAGGCTGCTGTCAGACATTGCAGTGCCTGGCTTCCATCTGTTTACCAGGCTCCCCAATGTCTGGGTGCCTGGCATCTGTCCGGTATTGCTCTGTAGCTGGCTTCCCTCTGTCATACATTGCTGTGTTCCTGGTTCCACTGTGTCTGGAATTGCTGTGCCTGGCTCCCCTCTGTCATACATTGCTTTTTTTTCCTGGCTCAAGTGCCTGGTATTGCTGTTTTCCTGGCTCCACTCTGATATTGCTGTGTTCCTGGCACCACCATGTCTGGTATTGCTGTGTTCCTGGCTCCCGTGTCCGGTATTGCTGTGTTCCTGGCTCCCCTCTGATATTGCTGTGTTCCTGGCTCCCCTCATACATTGCTGTGTTCCTGACTCCCCTCTCATACACTTCTGTGTTCTGGGCTCCCGTGTCCAGTATTGTTGTCCCCGGCTCCCCTCATACATTCCTGTGTTCCTGGCTCCCGTGTTCGGTATTGCTGTGTTCCTGGCTCCCCTCTCATACTTTGCTGTGTTCCTGTCTCTCGTCCCCAGTATTGCTGTGTTCCTGTCTCCCCTGTCCCCGGTATTGCTGTGTTCCTGTCTCCCCTGTCCCTGGTATTGCTGTTTTCCTGGCTCCCCTGTGTCCGGTATTGCTGTTCCTGGCTCCACTCATACATTGCTGTTCCTGGCTCCCTTGTGTCCGGTATTGCTGTGTTCCTGGTTTCCCTCCCATACATTGCTGTGTTCCTGGCTCCCTTGTGTCCGGTTTTGCTGTGTTCTGGCTCTCCTCATACATTGCTGTGTTCCTGGATTCCCTGTCCGGTTTTGCTGTGTTCCTGGCTCCCCTCATACACTGCTGTGTTCCTGGCTCCCGTGTCCAGTATTGCTGTTCCTGGCTCCCTTCTCATACATTGCTGTGTTCCTGACACCCGTCATACATGTGTTCCTGGCTCCCGTGTCCGGTATTGCTGTGTTCCTGGCTCCCCTCCCATATATTGCTGTTCCTGGCTCCCCTCCCATACATTGCTGTGTTCCTGGCTCCCCTGTGTCCAGTATTGCTGTGTTCCTGGCTCCCCTCCATACATTGCTGTGTTCCTGGCTCCCCTCTCATACATTTGCTGTGTTCCTGTCTCCCCTGTCCCCGGTATTGCTGTTTTCCTGGTTCCCCTCCCATACATTGCTGTGTTCCTGGCTCCCGTCCCCAGAATTGCTGTTCCTGGCTCTACTCATACATTACTGTGTTCCTGGATCCCCTCCCATACATTGCTGTGTTCCTGGCTCCCTTGTGTCCGGTACAGCTGTGTTCCTGGCTCTCCTCATACATTGCTGTGTTCCTGGCTCCCTTGTGTCCGGTACAGCTGTGTTCCTGGCTCCCCTCATACACTGCTGTGTTCCTGGCTCCCATGTCCAGTATTGCTGTTCCTGGCTCCCCTTCTCATATATTGCTGTGTTCCTGGCTCCCTTGTGTCCGGTTTTGCTGTGTTCCTGGCTCCCCTCCCATACATTGCTGTGTTCCCGGCTCCCCTGTGTCCAGTATTTCTGTGTTCCTGGCTCCCCTCTCATACTTTGCTGTGTTCCTGTCTTCCCTGTCCCCGGTATTGCTGTTTTCCTGGCTCCCCTCCCATACATTGCTGTGTTCCTGGCTCCACTCATACATTGCTGTTCCTGGCTCCCTTGTGTCCGGTATTGCTGTGTTCCTGGCTCCCCTCCCATACATTGCTGTGTTCCTGGCTCCCTGTCCGGTATTGCTGTGTTCCTGGCTCCCGTGTCCGGTATTGCTGTGTTCCTGGCTCCCCCCCCCATACATTGCTGTGTTCCTGGCTCCCTTGTGTCCAGTACAGCTGTGTTCCTGGCTCCCCTCATACACTGCTGTGTTCCTGGCTCCCGTGTCCAGTATTGCTGTTCCTGGCTCCCTTCTCATATATTGCTGTGTTCCTGACACCCGTTACATGTGTTCCTGGCTCCCCTGTGTCCGGTATTGCTGTGTTCCTGGCTCCCCTCCCATACATTGCTGTGTTCCTGGCTCCCTTGTGTCCAGTACAGCTGTGTTCCTGGCTCCCCTCATACACTGCTGTTTGCTGGCTCCCGTGTCCAGTATTGCTGTTCCTGGCTCCCCTCTCATACATTGCTGTGTTCCTGACACCCCCTCTCATACATGTGTTCCTGGCTCCTGTGTCCGGTATTGCTGTGTTCCTGGCTCCCCTGTCCCCGTATTGCTGTTTTCCTGGCTCCCCTCCCATACATTGCTGTGTTCCTGGCCCCATGTCCGGTATTGCTCTGTACCTGGCTCCCCTCATACATTGCTGTGTTCCCGGGCTCCCGTGTCCAGTATTTCTGTGTTCCTGGCTCTCCTCATACATTGCTGTGTTCCTGGCTCTCCTGTCCCCGGTATTGCTGTGTTCCCGGCTCTCCTCATACATTGCTGTGTTCCTGGCTCCCATCTCATACATTGCTGTGTTCCTGGCTCCCATCTCATACATTGCTGTGTTCCTGGCTCCCATCTCATACATTGCTGTGTTCCTGGCTCCCCTCATACATTGCTGTGTTCCTGGCTCCCCTGTCCCCGTATTGCTGTGTTCCTGGCTCCCTTCCCCATATAATTGCTGTGTTCCTGACACTCCGTCATACATGCTGTCCTCCTGGCTCCCCTGTGTCCGGTATTGCTGTGTTCCTGGCTCCCCTTATACATTGCTGTGTTCCTGGCTCCGCTGTCCCCGGTATTGCTGTGTTCCCGGCTCCCCTCCCATAATTGCTGTGTTCCTGGCTCCGCTGTCCCCGGTATTGCTGTGTTCCTGGCTCCCCTGTGTCCCTCTGTCTCTCTCCGGGGTGACACAGTCGCCCCCTCCCGTCCTCTCCCTGCTCCTGTCCCCGGCCTCCCCCCTTCCTCCTCTTCCCCTCCCCCTCCTCCGCCCGCCGTGGTAGGGGAGCCCCGGGCCGGCGCACTGATCTCCTGTGTGCTGCGGCTGCGTGTCCCTGCGCCCCGAGCCGCCTCCATATTAACGAGTCCTCCCAGCCAGCCATCCCGGGGAGAGCCATGCCGGGCATGATGGACAAAGGCACCGAGTTCCTGGGCAAGAGCCGCTCCAACGGCACCAAGAGCCCGTCCAGCGCCTCCAACGGCCACTACTCCGAGGAGAGCGGGAGCGACGACGAGCACGGCGGTAGCCTCGAACGGAGTGAATGAGCCTCGAACGAATGCTGACCTCCCCTCCCCCCTCCTCTTCCTCCTCCCCCTCCCCGGACTGAGAGTGAATGTGAGCCCGCTCTGCCCCTCATTCCCTCGCCGCTTTAGCCGTCTTCTCTTTTCCTTTTCCAGATGTGGGTATGAGGGTGGGAGCCGACTTCCAGGCCCAGATCCCGGACTACGAGCCCGGTGAGTGGCCATTTTGTGTGTGTGGTGGTAGCCTCGGTACAGGTGGGCGGGGCTCCGGGGTGTCCGAGGCTCCCATCTGTCTGCAGAGTCCTCATCATACATGTCTGTCTATTGTGTGTAGTATGACCGCCACTCATCGTTCATCCGTGTCACATGCGCATCGCCAAGGTTCAATTTTTCAAAAATGTATCGCCTGAGCGCACATGTTTATGTACAAAGGTGAACGGATAGCGGGAACTGGTCACCACGGCTGATTTCCTATTGGCCGACACCAATCGGGGCGTCACAATCCAAATGGTCCCTGAGAGAAATTATATCAATTAAAAACACTAGCTGAGCGTACATGTTCACGTAGAAAGGTGATTGGCCGCTCCCAGAACAGACCGCTTCCAATAGCGGGATCTGGTCGCCGCCAACTGATTTACTATTGGCCGACAGCGATCATTCGGTACGTCAGAATCAAATGGTCCTTCAACTAACTGATATAGAATACAAATGCATTAGCTGAGCATACATGTTAATGTACAAAGGTGATCAAACGCTTCCGGAACAGACCAGTTTCCAATAGTGGGATCTGGTCGCCGGCAACTGATTTCCTATTGGTCAACAGCGATCATTGGGTGCATCAGAATCCAAATGGTCCCTTAGAGAACTGACTAGAGAACAATAATGCACTAGCTGAGCGTACATGTTCATGTAGGAAGGTGATCGGCCGCTCCCGGAGCAGACCGCTTCCAATAGCGGGATCTGGTTGCCGCCAACTGATTTCCTATTGGCTGACAGCAATCATTCGGTACGTCAGAATCAAATGGTCCTTCAACTAACTGATATAGAATACAAATGCATTAGCTGAGCATACATGTTAATGTACAAAGGTGATCAGACGCTTCCAGAACAGACCAGTTTCCAATAGTGGGATCTGGTCGCCAGCAACTGATTTCCTATTGGCTGACAGCAATCATTCGGTACGTCAGAATCCAAATGGTCCTTGAATGAACTGATATAGAATAAAAATGCATTAGCTGAGCGTACATGTTCATGTACAAAGGTGATCAGACGTTTCCGGAACAGACCAGTTTCTAATAGCGGGATCTGGTAGCCGCCAAATGATTTCCTATTGGCCGACAGCGATCATTGGGTGCGTCAGAATCCAAATGGTCTCTTAGAGAACTGAAAGAGAACAATAATGCACTAGCTGAGCATACATGTTCATGTAGGAAGGTGATCAGACACTCTCAGACTGTTTCCAATAGCTGGAACTGAGCACCACTGGCTGATTTCATAGTGGCCAACAGGATTCAGTCAGTGCTTTAGAATCCAACTGGTCCCTGAGAGAAACTGACATAGAATAAAAATGCACTAGGTGAGCGTACATGTTCATGTACAAGGGTGTTCTGATGCTTCCGGAACAGACTGTTTCCAATAGCATGAACTGGTCACCGCCAAATGATTTCCTGTTGGCCAACAACGATCATTGGGTGTGTCAGCATCCAAATGGTCCCTGAGAGAACGGACAGAATTAAAATGTGCTAGCTGAGTGTACATATTCATGTATGAAGGTGATCAGACGCTTCTGGAACAGACCAATTTCCAATAGCAGGAACTGGTCACCACCAACTGATTTCCTTTTGGCCATTAGCGATCATTGGGCGTGTCAGTATACAAATGGTCCCTGAGAGAACTGACAGAATAATAATGCACTAGCTGAGCGTACATGTTCATGTATGAAGGTGATCAGACGCTCGCAGAACAGACCAGTTTCCGATAGCGAGAACTGGTCACCACCAACTGATTTCCTATTGGCCAACAACGATCATTGGGTGTGTCAGCATCCAAATGGTCCCTGAAAGAACTGGCAGAATTAAAATGTGCTAGCTGAGCGTACATGTATGAAGGTGATCAGGCGCGTCCAGAACAGACCAATTTCCAATAGCAGGAACTAGTCACCACCAACTGATTTCCTATTGGCCAACAGCAATCATTGGGCGTGTCAGAATACAAATTGTCCCTGAGAGAACTGACAGAGTAATAATGCACTAGCTGAGCATACATGTTCATGTACAAAAGTGATCAGACGCTTGCAGAACAGACCAGTTTCCGATAGCGAGAACTGGTGACCACCAACTGATTTCCTATTGGCCAACAACGATCATTGAGTGTGACAGAATTAAAATGTGCTAGCTGAGCGTACATGTTCATGTATTAAGGTGATCAGACGCTTCCGGAACAGACCAATTTCCAATAGCAGGAACTGGTCACCACCAACTGATTTCCTATTGGCCGACAGCGATCAGTCAGGGCATCACAATCCAGATGTTAGTTTGATGTCTATGGCTGTCACAATTGCATGTCATCAGTTTTTGACAAGGCTGCCAGTGACCGGAGATGATGATTGGACGATCCTACCATCACACAGTCACCTGGCAGATATGTCACGGAATAAACATGCACTAGGTGAGCACACACGTTCATGTACGAAGCTGACCAGACATACCCGGCATGGACTGTGTCCAATAGTTGCCGACTATTTTCCTATTGGTCAGGGCATTTGGCAGAACATCCAATCCCAATGGTCGTCTATGATGGCCGTCTATGATGGTCATAGTTGCTGGTTACTAATGAAGTGTTCTCACATGGCGACCACTTCCTGTTATCTCACATATATATTCTTATTATTATAGCCACATTTACCACCCTAACTCCTCCCACAGTTTTTACACCACATAGACAGTAATATACGGAAACATGCGGATTGTTCCCGATTGGTGTGCTATTACTTTGCGGAACGTTTCGCCGAATGGGTCACGAAATATCGGCGTTTTTGTGGTGACATTGGTCCCATAGGAATGAATGGCGGAATGTTCAAAACTAGAGTGGGAGCTGACAAAAGCTAGAGTGGGAGCTGAAAAATCAGGACATGATTTCTAAACTGCCATCACTCCCTCATTTTCAAGCCCACCTACACAAATCTTATATCAAAACGTTCAGCTATCCCTGCTGCCACTAAAAATGTCGACGGCTAAGCCATAGTCCTGATAGTTTTCACAATATGACCATTTGTTTGCAACTCACGCCGCCCATTGACATTCATTGAAACTCCACTCTAGCCACCTCAAATTTGAAGGGCAATTTCTAAACTGCGACTGTGCCTTCATTTTTAATATTTCAGAGACAAACTATGCATCAAAATGTAGGTCTGGGTCTTGTGATTCTCACAATATAAAGCTCTTCAGTATAGAATTTATCATTTTTAAACTACAACCGTTTGAAGATGGCAACCGCCAGTGAAGTGAGCAAGTTGGAGCAGTTTGTTTTTAACCGCTCTTCTCTGCCCTTGTTGTAGAGTGAGTTGCCATAGGAACCCAGGTGTGTGAGCAGGCAGCAGAGTGACAAAAGCTAGAGTGTGAGCCACACAGTTACTCTGCCCACTCCATAAAGTTACTCTCTGCCCAGTCCAACCACACAACAGTTACTCCGCCCACTCCACCCAATTACTCCGCCCACTCCAGTTGTAGACGACTGGTGGAGGCAAGAACACTTCACACAATTTCCCCAGAAATTGTAGCTTTTCTAGTTTCCATTGGTTTTCCACAAGTCTGTCTGTGCCCTTAGCTGCCATTGACAGGAAATGACGGGCGGACGATCCCACCAATGCGCAATCACCTGACCAAACTGTAGTGGATTAAAAATGTAGGTATGGGAAGACAGGTTACTTGAGCGTCTGCAGGATTCAGGCATTGCTTCCATGATCTGCTGATTGCGGGTGCAATGCCCTAATGACCAATGTAAAAAAATAATAAGTGCACTTTTTTTTTTTCTTTTTGCCTGCAAAGAGATGTGCATTTATTATTTCTTTGTAAAAAGTGAACTGATCCTTTAACCGCTTCCCGACCACTCTATAGCAGATATACATCTACAGGGCGGCATGGGTGCGCAAAATCACGTGTGTAATATATATGTGTGTGATTTTGCATTTCTGGGTAGGGGGCGCTGTTAATCACCGAGTCCTAGCCAATGATTACTCACCGGCACCCGGTGATTTACTAGCATCTCCGACAGGGAAGGGAACTGTATGTAAACAGTACAGTTCTCCTCCCTGTCAGCTCATGCAGACTGCTTTTGGATGGCTGTGCACACCATCCAAAGCAGTGTGCTTACAGTGAAGCACATGGACACAGCACAGGGTTAACACTTTGATCACCCTCATGTTAACCCCTTCCTGCCCAGTGCCATTATTACATTTGCTGTGCTTTGCTTTTTTTTTTTTTGGTAGCACTGATCACTGTATTGGTGTCACTGGGGATGTTAGTGACACCAAGTCAGTTCCCCCCAGTGTCAGAATGCCTGCTGCAGTCCCGCTATTATTCGCGGATCGCCACCATTACTAATAAAAATAAAACCCATTAAAATGCCAGTATATATTCCGCCATTTGTAAATGCTATAAACTATCGAGTAAACCAATTAATTTACACGTATTGGGGTTTGTTTTTTTTAGCAAAGGCATGTAGCAGAACACATTTTGGCCTAAATTTTTGGCGAAATTTGTTTTTTTTTTTTTTTTTTTTTTAAACTTTTACTGAACATACTTAATAGCAAAAACTCAAACATACTGTTTTTTTTGTTTTTTTTTTCTCAAAATTGTCGCCTTTTTTTTTTTTTTTTTTTTTTTTTTAAATAAAAATGCACAGACGATCAAATACCACTTAAAGAAAGGTCAATTCGTTGGAAAGAAAGGACATACATTTAATTTGGGTGCAGCGTTGCATGACCGCACAATTGTCAGTTAAAGTAACGCAGCGCCGTAACGCAAAAAAATGGCCTGGTCAGGAAGGGGGGGAAATCCTCTGGAGGGCAAGGGGTTAAAGACGGGGTCTCCAAACTATGTCCCTCTGGGTGTTGAGGAACTGCAAGTCCCATGAGGCCCTGCAAGACTGACAAGACTGCAGCCACGGCCAAGACTCCCAGAGGCATGATGGGATTTGTAGTACTTCAACAGCTG